TTGGCCACAACTTTGGGACAAATCTGTGATTCGAGTGAAAGACTTGAATCCCAACGATATGTCACTTATTCTCGACAATCCATACGAGAGTACATGTGATGGCATTTGGAGCCAATATTTTTAATCATTTCATTATTATATTTATTGTACCAAAAAATTTTAAATTATAGGATTACAAAAATGATTACACACCATTGTTTATGTAACAGCATAATTTACAATAAATATATACAAAATTCAAATATTAGTTTATTCAAAGTTTCACTACTTTTGAAACATGGAGAGAGAGAGAGAGAGAGAGATTGATTGATAAAAATGAATTAATAAGTAATAAATATAATTCATTATCGGGAAGTAATATCAAGAATAAATTTATTAACTGTTACCAGGAAGTATTTAACAATAATTAAAAAACTATAAAAATATATATTTTACAATAAATTGACATGTAAATTAAATCTTATAATAAAAATGACCTTGAACATTCAAACAAGAATTTATATTCAAATATTAAATTAATGACATGTTTACAAACTATATATTTTCTAACAATGGTATATTCATATGGAAATATTATGGTGGCATTGAAAATGCAAATTTATGTAAAAAAATTATATAAACATAATTATAAACAGATACAGTACATACACTATATTATTGCACATAGTAATTAAGCAATATAATAATTAAATAATATTTAATCAAAAATTTCAAAATGTGCTTAATATCAATCGAAAGATTATTAATTAAATGTCACCTGATACATAATTATGTGTGGATGATTAAATTATTTAAAACACGATTCTTCCTTGTATAACAACTCTACATTTACAGCACTAAAAAATAATAAAAGTGGTTTATAACAGAAATATATGTTAATATAAGGAAGTAAATATTTTTAGTTAAGTGCAAGAGTTATCTAACATAACTATAAATTATAATATAACAAGGTGGTTTAACGTATTTTTCTAATATTCAATCAATAGTGTATCAATAATATATAATATTCTAAAATAATTATCTAAAGTTATATTAAATAACTACTTTTAAAAGCTGTTTGCTTAATTATTAAATTATAATGATTTTAAAAACATATTTGTTGTGTTTATTAGTACTAACGATATGTTTAATAGTGTGTTGTGTTTGCGATGGGAATAGTATTGATGTGAACACGAGTTCGGGTTCAGTGAGGGGTCAGACACTCCATGTCTTGAATCACAAAATACATCAATTCTTGAATATACCCTACGCTGAGCCCCCGTTAGGCCCACTCAGGTTCGCCCCTCCCTTACCACTCAAAGCACCAAAACAGGTATGCATTGAACTTTTCAAATATTTTAATGTAAAAACTTTATAATAAAATTTTAATAATAGGATGTGATTGATGGGACAGTTGACGGAAACTCATGCATACAAACCGTAAACCCTATGCTTGAAGCACTGGTAGGCAAACTAACCATCAGCGAAGACTGTCTGACTTTAGGCGTATGGACACAAACCACGGGCACAGATATACCGAGCGATCAATTAAAACCGGTCATGTTTTATATACACGGAGGAGCGCTGTCTATGGGTTCGCTGTATCAAAAAATGTACAATGGCAGTATTTTGCCCATTTACGATGTGGTGGTTGTGTCCGTGAACTACCGGTTGGGACAGTTGGGCTTTCTATACGGCGCCAACGAGACTGCGCCCGGAAATGCGGGCTTTTATGACCAGTTATTGGCTTTAAAATGGGTATCAATTGATCGCTTGTTAACATTTAGTTTGTATTTATTTAATTAAATAATATATGAATTAATGACATAATAATAGGTCAGAGATAACATCCACTCATTTGGCGGAGATAGGGATCGGATCACCATTTTTGGTGAGAGTGCCGGCGCGTGGTCTCTATCCGCACACCTGTTGTCACCTTTAAGTAAAGGCCTATTCAAGAGAGCTATTATACAGAGCGGAACCCTTATGTTCAATAAGGATCGGCCGGTTTTGGGTACTGTCGACGGGTTGGCGAAGGCCAAAGAGACGGCCCGTAGGGTTGGCTGCGATCCATACGACTATAAATGGTTGGACTGTTTGCGGGCAATAGAGGACCCGAACCTAATTCTGGATACGGCCGATGCGGGCGAAGCCTTTATCATCTCTTTCCCGGTGTTTGGCACAGAATTTCTACCAATTTTACCCCAAAAGGCATTGGAAAGTGGAAAATATAATTCGGGTAATTATACTTTGTTTTCACTTTCAACTTTTGTGTTGTAGTATTTACCTCATTCACACTACTTTACATTATTAACACTTTAATTTACAAATACTAACTTGATAATATTTATGTTGTTATATTTGTAGCAGCGATGCTATATTTATTTTGAAATATTAAAATGTGCAATCTTATTAAAATTCTAAAATTATTGATATAATTTTTTAATATATATTATTTGAACACAAAATAGATGTCCATATAATGGCTGGTCTGACCAGAGACGAGGGCCATATGTTGGCCGTCGCTCTTTACCCTCAACTGAGAGCTCAAAATTTTGATGTAAACGCATTCAAACAATTAGTGTCCGCTTTAAATCCCGTCTACCATAACATTGATCCGGACAAAGTGGTCGCACACTATCTGCGAGATATAGACACCGGGAATCCCGGAGCTCTGATCCGGGCTTTTGGCAGACTTTACGGCGATTTACTGCTCGACTGTCCGACGTATCTGTTCGCCAAACGCTGGGCCGTTAGGTCAGAAAATGCGGTATATTTTTATCGGTTTAGCTTTCAATCGCGTGGATTTGAAATGTTTGGTTGCGATGACAACACCATATGTCACGGCGCTGACATTACGTACGTTTTCGGGGAACCCGTGCGGACGGCCACCGCTTTCCGCGAAATTGATTACGATTTCAGTTTAGATGTTATGAAGATATGGACTAATTTTGCTAAAAATATGTTAGTATTTAATTAATTAATTTTTTAATTACTAATGTTATAACTTGTTTTTTAATAGTAAACCACATGACGTTTGGCCACAACTTTGGGACAAATCTGTGATACGAGTGAAAGACTTGAATCCCAACGATATGTCACATATTCTCGACAATCCATATGAGAGTACATGTGATGGCATTTGGAGCCAATATTTTTGATTTGCTTTTTTATTATTTCAATTTTTATTGTTTTTACTATGTAACATAGTCTATGTTCAATTGTGTTATAATTACTAATGGTAATTATTTTTATAATAATATAATTTAAAGTTAAATTTTACATAAATAATCACAACATGGTTTACAATATTTCATAAAATTTTTAAATGATAATTTTTATAATTTGCTTAAATTGGACTGTAATTGTATTTTTAAAATAAACATTGTAACAATTACATTAACTCTTATTTAATGTTAAAGTGATTTCAGAGTAATTAAAAATCTATAGAATTAGCGTTACCATTGAGTTAGCATTGTCATAGACTTATCATTGCATAAAGTTGAGAGAGAGAGAGAGAGAGAGAGAGAGAGAGAGAGAGAAGATCAAATTATTTATATAGAAATCCAAAACTACAGTAAAACATAAACTGGGTGAACTTGGGAAATTTTGTCATTTAGTTCACACAAATCATTAGTTCACACAAATCATTATGAACTAAAAGTATGATTAATACATAAATGTTGCTTTAAATTACAAATTTCGATATTTTCAAGAGGAATAGTGGTAATTTCCTGTTGTTTTAATGGTTTATTGAATGTAAACAACTTATATTAACCGTTTTGTGTACGAAATATTTTAGTGCTGTCATCTATATTTGGCTATAAATTTGCTATTTTGTATGGTTCACACAACTCATTGTGAAATGCATTGAGTGCCACATAATTTTAGCTATAATTTGTTCACACAGATCATTAGTTCACACAGTTCATGTTCACACAAATCATGTTTTTTTAACATTATGTCTATGAGAGACAAGTTTATGTTTTGAGGTTTGGTTCATACAAATCCTTAGTTCACACAACTCATGGTTCACCCAGTTCATGTTTCACTGTATTAAAAAATATATTTGATCATTGATCAAAAGTTACCAGCGGGCAATATGCTAGTAATAAATTAACAAAAATAACAAGACAATATTCTAAATTAATAAATATCATTGTTCTCGTTTACTTTTGCGCACCATTCCAATATAACCTAGTGCTAAATAAACAATTGCCATTGCTATTAAAGCTACTGAATCCAAGTGAATATTATCCTGGTGGAAACCCTGCGAAATGATCACGTTTGAACCGTTGCCATAACAATGACCCACCGATTCGCTATTATTGTAGCATGGTATATAATCAACAGTTCGCCATTGGCTAATCATTAGAGCTTCGTAACCATAATGAGTAATGGTCAAGTATTTCAGCCATATTATCCATCCGTGTATTTCGCTAATAAAATTGTATTAATTATTAAATAAATTAAATTTAAAATTACACTAGAATTATTATATTATAAGTTAGTATAATATGTCGATATTATTAGAAATTCAAATAAATTTAATAGAAAGCTTTACATCAGTTAAAATTACTACCGAAAATTATCATGTTTAATTGTATTCTATTTAGATCTGGTAAATTGCAAGATTTTCATAATAAAAATCTACTACAATTATAATTCGTGGTAATCTCCCTTATAATGTAAATATTTCTTATTAAATAAATGTAGTATAATTAATATATACATTTAAATGTAATTAACTAAAAAATCAATTAACTAATACAAAACTTGTATTGTATAGAATTTTAAAAATCATATCGAGAATATATTACCCGGAATTAATGAATAATCCACCAAATAGAGTCTGTACCATTACTAGAGGTGTCGTGATAATCATGGACATTTGTTGATTGGGCACGATGGATGATATTAAACAACCTGGTTAATAAATTATAAATTTAAAGAAAATTATTAAAGCATCATTTATAATGTCAATTATTACCAAATAGGCCGCCGCATATTAATAATAACATGTTATTTCCAACACAAATGGCAAATGCCTGGGGAGTGGGATTTAAACCGGCCATATAATATATAATTGATATAGACATCATCGATAGTACAATCGAAACAGGTATCTATAATAAGCATGACAATATATTTAAGAATTGTGCACAATTGTTATAACCATTTCATATCGTGGTTAATAAAATAAATTAAAACAAATATTAACTTGCCCTGATCAATATGTGCGACAAATAATACGCTGCCACCGAATACAAATGACTATTGTGTTCGCGTAGAAAGATAGCCGTTTCACTGCAAAATATCTATAAAATATTATACAGTATAATCAAAACGTGCTTGTTTAAATATTTCCAACCCCTTAAAACACTTACCGCGACGAATTGAAATAAGTTAACCATAAAGTTGTTTGTTATGATTAGAAATAGTACGCCATTAATATTATCGACATCAGTGGATATCGGGTACTGTTTATGAAATATTATGCCAATAAATATTGACATAGCCTATTTATGAATTAAAAATAAAGATAAAACTAATTATTTATTTACCAAGATTTTTACACGTCATATCGCTTACAATGAAGCTGGGTCACCTACCCGAGTTATTTCAAATTAAAACCTTAATTATATTGTAGATTATAACTATAGATCTGCAATGTTTTAGAATTCATATTATGCGCCAATGTTAAAGTCAATCAAACAGTGTAAACTGACACAGTGGCCAATCAACATTGTTTAAGAAAGTATTTTTAGAAAGTATTTTTGCAACATTGCAGATAGAAAATTATAACATTCATGTTTTGTAATTTTTACAAATCTATATTTTGTGATAATATCATAATATTATAATCTATCATATCAGGGGAAACGAAAAGTTTTGCAATAATTTGACATGAAATTAAAACTTAATTTATTCTTAACACAATAAACTTTAATCATCGGTCTAAACTCTATAATGACAGTCAATTATTTGTCTTCTTGTGATAAATTTTTTAATTGTTTCTATACAGGGATATCTTGATTTTAGGGCAAAAAATAGGAACACCCATTATTTGACAGGGTCCTTATTATTTAATGCCATTCCTCTCACAGACAGTGGAAGTGCTCGGAACCGACAGGAATCTGGAGAGTATATGTATGGGTTAGGGATGCAATTGGTATGGACTTCATATCTGTTGTCATTATTTTTCTGTTAAGTTTTATATTTAAAGTTGCCATATTTTTATAGACATAAATTGCTCTAAAATCCATTTACATGATCTCTACCTCTTCCCGATAGCATTTAAGTGATCCCAACTATTCTATTCACTGCACCTCTACTGTCAATATATATCTTCACACCAATTGTTTTTGATTTGTGTCTCAAAAAAATTTGATCACTACCGACGGGTGGCCACCTTAAGTTGGGCACCAGAGCTAAGGTCATGGTCGCGGGACATTATTAACTACCCTAATCGTTAATATTCAGTACACCAATTATAATCATATATTGTTTGTATTTTTCGGGCTGCTGCCGTGGCAAATAAACCATAATATAAAAATTTTACACATTATAATTTCTAATGTGTATTATCTTTGAAGCTTTGGTGGCCATGAATGGCAATTGATAGAAAATTGATTTCAACTGTAAATTAAAGACAAATTATTGTGTTTTCATTAAACAAATCTGTTTTTGTAGTAAGTATTTAAATTAATACTTAAAAAGTTATTTTAAAAAAGGTTGACAAAAATTCTCGCATAACTTTTCGTTTCTCCTAATATAACTAAGCTTTTAATTTTAAATATCTCGGACAGGTGACCCAAGTGTTTTGTTTGAAATTCGCTTATGATTGCATGCAAATATATGCCGGGTAATACGGTATTATACAAACCAATAATGATGTTAACTGAGCCTTAATATTTACGGTGTCACGTATTGTAATTAGAAATAAACGCATCATTAGAGTGCTAAATTGAAGCCATGAACCAGCTAGTTTAATTTCATAATTTGTATAACTTGAAATATTGCCATAATTAACCATGTCCATTTTTGTCTTATTAATCTCTAACAATATGGTGGCGTTATAATCAGAGTCTAGGAATTTATCGCACAATTTCTGAAACATTAATTAATTAAAACAAAAAATATTTTAGTTTTTATATGAACTCGAAAAGTGCATATTTTTAAATTAATAATAGTTAAAGATAATTTTAAAATAATATATAAATTTTATACATAATTACAAATTAAATTAATAAATTGTAAAAATAAATTTACATTGGCATTTGTCTTAGTTTGTGGGTCAGACGTGATTGCTAAAGTAATATATACAAGAAATTATAAACATATAAATATTTATAAAGATTCTTTTATAATACCGACCCAGTTGATTCATATAATAATCGCTAGGATTGTAGTTAGCCGGACAAATCTAAAGCATAATTAATAACTTAATAAAAAACACCAATCATAAATAAATCACACTTACATAACCGTGTGATGCAAAAAAGTTCTTTACTTCACCTGTAATTGTTTATAATTTTAAATTTTAATTGCAATAATGTTAATTTATAAATTAAGAAATTAAGGGCCAAACCATTGGTTCCCATGAAAGCAACCCTTCCGTCAGTCATCAGTAATAAGTGGTCAAAAAGTGCGAACACTTGAGACGACGGCTGATGTATAGTACAGACTATAGTCCGGCCCTCACAGGCCATAGCCTTCAATAGCCGGACAATACTTTCGGCCATAAATGAGTCCAAACCACTCGTCGGCTCATCACTAATGCACACAATAATTTAAACAATTTCTTAATACTGTATATAAAATATCTAATTTATTTTCAAATAGACCCTCAAATAAATGTAAATGCATTCTCTGAACACATGTGTGACTAACACAGTATACAATAAATGTGTATAAATTTAATTACCAGAAAATTAGCGATGGATTTGTTAGAATCTAAAACATAACATTTAACACATATTAATATTTTGTTTACTCTTATAATGCATACAAACCTCTGAAGCGATTGACAATCGTTTCATTTCTCCGCCGGAAATGCCCTTAAATGAAAAATCACCGCCAATTCTGCTCTCTGAACATTTGACCAAGTTTAACTATATTATACAATATACAGTATACTGTACGTTATGTTTATAAATTAAATATAATTCCCAAATGTAGTTCACGGTAATTAATGAAATATTCACCTTAATCAATACATCTTGAACAATTGCCATTTTCTCAACGCGAGTCAATGTTCTACCAAAACGCAAAGTGACCTTAATTATAATTTATTTCTTGATTATTATGTATAAAATTTAACTAAAATTTTTAATTAACTTTAAACTAATGTTTTGTAATCAAAATGAATACATTAATCATGAGATGCTCTCTAACGGTAAGCAATGGATGAAACAAATCGTTTTGTTGGATATACGACGAGATGGAGGCCAGAGTCCGCCCGTTTACCGGCCGTCCGTTTATCAGTACATCTCCGGTGACCGACATTTTGCCCATATTTCTACCGGTGAGTGCATTGAGCAGGGTCGTTTTGCCAGCACCACTTAAAAAAGGGAAAAGTTAAATAGCTATTTGGTAATTTTCACAATTTAATACAATAGGGTACTATTAAATTATTAAGTTGAATAAATAATATATTTTAAGTTATAATGTTAATCTTATTAGATACAAACTCTAATAAAGTTACTTATTTTAACAATGAATTCTAGTTAATTGTAAGAAAATATTTTTGGTTGGTTTATTCTCAAAATTACCTTGAATCAATACAGAATTTATAGATATTTAATAAGTTTATATTGTGCTCATAATAACTTACCTAGGTCCCATAATAGCCAATAATTGACCTGGCGCAACATGGCCTGACACTAATTTATTAAATAATTGTGTTATAATCTATAATTATTACCTTATTTACATGTATAATTATTAAACAAATTAATTTAAGTTATTAAATACATAACCATTTCGGATAATTTCAAGCGGAGGCTTAACATCACGATAACAATTATAAATGGATTTATTAGTTTTGGTGAAAACCTGTAGATTTAACCATGATAATGTGACCTGGCGCAAACCACTACTATTGCCCCTACGAGTCTCATTGATTTCTAATATAACTCTCATATCGAGTTAGATAACAATTAAATGTTAAATGAATAAATAAATTAAAATTAAATTATTTAAATTATATTAATTAACACACTATAGAGTAATTAAATATTAATAAAGTAATAATTAATACAAACTACTACTATAACGTTAAATCCTGTAATATAATAATAATAATCAATTTATTAATTAGCAATTCATGATTACAGAGCAATTTTTAAAAAATAAATCGCGTTCCTAATAAGACTTGATATAAATTAACCCTGAAACTATACTCATTTAATGAACATGCATATTAATAAAAATCTCAAAAAAACAATAGGTTATAACTGGTGTAATATCAATAACAAATAACTAGTTGTAATTAAATACTAGTGAACACTAGTTATAATTCAATACTAAATATGGTTTTTAATTTCGGACATCGCGTGCAATCGGGAGTTATTTAGACTATTCATATATTTTACATTGAAGTGGCAGTAAATGTCAAGAATAAAAATAATCATTATTTGAAGAGCTGTTCCCAATCGCCGCCACCGGAGCCGCACTTGTGATGGCGTACGACCCGCGACCACATGACAGGCCGGCCCTCCCGGTCGCGACAGTACTCACTGTATTCGTCCGTCCGATACATCTCTTCTCCTGAGGACTGGTCTGTGATGTCGTTCACGCCGTAAGACATCCGCCAACGCATGGCTTTGGAGAGCGTTTTGAGCGCCGAGTCCTCCGATTTGGTGATCCGTACGAACCGATCGACCCATCAGTCCTTTCGGGACACCATTTCCACGTCCGACCCCTTAGTAGAGGCTGAAAATGAGGCGCGCAGTCATGCCATCACATCCCTGTTCACAGACATTCACAAACACTACTTGCAATTAATTTACAAATAATTGAATATTTTTATTTATTTTAATTATATTAATAAATTACGCAAAACTAAATTTATTATTAATTATGACAAAAATTTATACTATTTGTATAACAAATATTATTTAATGATAACTAATAGGAAACATATAGTTAATCACTGATTGAGTACATTTATAATCGTAACATGTTAGTACATTATTTTGTTATTGTAATGATTTTAATTATGACGTTTTATCACGTTATCAACGCTGCACTAAATCTTGATTTAATGTACTAATTATTTATACAAATGTCCTAAATGTGATTGTTGTTATTAAAAATAGTATTTAAATAAATATTAATTAGTAAATATGTGAAATATATAAGTGATTAATATATGTTTTATATAAGTTAAAGTAAAATACAGTAATAGTATTGAATAAACATATTATTATCTTTAAAAATGTAAACAATTTTATTAATTAAAGTAAATATATATTTTGTAATATATTTTAATGCATTTTAAATAAATTCTCATTCAAATTAACGCAAATTTAATATTAAAATAAATGTCCAAAACTTGAATTTTTTAAACAATCAGTTTCTGAGAATACAAGGAACAATGGATTGGGAATTAGTATTGTATTGAGTGGTAGAGCACAGGTGTGTTCATCCCATGGCCTCACCATTCATACCAATGTTAAACGTATGGACAATAAACCCATTCATACGTGGGTTACAAATATGTGTCGTATAAACCAATGGCAGGCAATAAATATGGATTATAAAAGTGTCCTAAAATAGGCCACAGTTTCAGGTATTGAATGCTATTTTAAATATTCAGTGCATTTGATTCGTACATACAGTGGTTTGAAGTTTAGAAAATAATCCATAAATAATAAACAAAAATATTTCTACTAAAAATGTGTTCAAAATTAATGAGTGTTTCGTTAATTGAAATAAAGAGTAAATTCAATGCAATGAAGAGTTTGTGTGAAATAATA